CTAAACCCTAGCTTCTAGATAAGGTAGGGGCCTTAATACTTAGAATAGGGTTTAGGGGTTTAGGGTTCAGGGTTTAGGGTTATAGGGGCCTCAATAATTAGAATAGGGTTTGGGGGCCCAGTCTACTATATTTATACTCAGGAACCCCCAAACTAGTACATGGGTAAGTATTAAAGTAATCATTAAGGCCCCTATATTGCTGAAACACTTGATATCCTTGACAAGGGTCAGGGTTTTTCAGGGATAAAAGCCGGCTATGGTTTAGGGTTTAGGTTTTGAGGTTTAGGAACAGAGGGACCTTTTCGACCTGTGGGTTTGCAGAACGTCTGAACGCCTGGATCCCGTGACCCCATGGCCCCCGACATTACCGCCTCCGTGGATCAGCAGTCGTGCTGTGTCAGTTCCAAGAGGTCTGCACGCTACGGGCTGCTTCCTTTCCTCACCATCAAGCTCGTCCAAGGCGTGAAGATCGCCTTCCAGCAGGTAATATAGGGGCCTTAATATTTTTTAGAATAGGGTTTGGGGGTATATTATACGAAAATTGTAATAAGGAACCCCCCAAACCCTATTCTAATTATTAACAGACGTACAGTAAATCGGCATATCCACGGCTGTTGTCGCCGCGAGGCCGCTCCATTGGTCTGGCTCCCGGCCACCCGGACACACAGAGTTTTCGTTAGCTGACACGGTTTGGGGTTTAGGGGTTTAGGGTTTAGGGTTTAGGGTTTAGGGTTTAGGGGTTTAGGGGTTTAGGGTTTAGGGGTTTAGGGTTTGAGACCACTAAATGATCTCCATAGACCAGGAGACCACCAGGAAGTCATCCGGAGGCCACCGTGGGACCTAGGTCCTGCCGGGATTCAGATGCTTCACTTGTTTAGGGTTTAGGGTTTAGGGTTTAGGGTTTACGGTTTAGGGTTTAGGGTTTAGGGTTTAGGGTTTAGGCACTGTACTGGTGCAGACGGAGACGGGACCAACCGGCTTCTGCACGAATACTGGAGAGGCCTAAATAATTATCAATACTATGTTGGGGGTTCCCTATAAGAAGTATAGCATAGTTTACCCTAAACTCGAGTTGTTAAGGCACCTTAAACACTAGAACACTCAACCCTAGACCCTAAACCCGGCTTCGAGGCCAAAATGGGGCCAATTTGTTGTAAGCAAAATATGTTTCTGATCTTTGTGCCAATTTTTGGGATCACTTCGGACTAGTTTCTTCATCTTTTTACAGAAGTTGTTGTTTCATTCTAAGCAAGGTTCAGATGTTTTGGGTCCGTGTGGCTGTCTAGGTTTGATCATAACCTTACAACAGGTTCTCTGCGGTTTTGAAGAAGGTAACCCTAAACCCTAAGCCCTATACCCTAAACCCTAAACCCTAACCCTTAGGGTTTCGGTGTCCGGGGTTGGGGCTTAAACGGCTTGGGCTTGACTGAATCCCTTCACTCTCGACGTAAGCCCTGCAAAACACGCTGTAAGGTTTCATGGGCCAGTGGAAGGGCGCAAACCCTAAAGTAACTGTCGGTTTCCGGGTCTTGGTGCCCAACCCTAAACGGTTTAGGGTCTAGGGGTTCAGGGGATTAGGGTTAAACCCAAACCCTCATCCTAAACCCACAAACTCGAAACTCTAAAGAGACCGGCGAGGACTTGGCACGGAAGTGGCGGAATCCAGATCCCTTTTGGCTCAGAGCGGCGTTCAGCCGAACGTGCCTCTGCAGGTTTTGGGGTCTTGGGGTTACGAGGTTTAGTGCCGTAGGGCTTGTAGGGTTTGGCGTTAAGGTCCCCTAGACCCTAGACCCTGAACCCTGAAGCCTTAACCCCAAACCGTGGGTTTTGCGGGCTTGGAGGTGATGCTTTCAGATTTGGGGTTTGTTTAGGGGTCAGGGCTTTTGAACCCTGAGTCCTCGGTATCACCCGCCTGGCAGTCTAACTTTCGTGTGCACGCTCATGCAGGACTCGCCACCACAGAACCCCAAGCCTTACACGCTGAACCCTAAACCCTAAACCCTAGGTTTGATATAGGGGTTTTAATAGTTAGAATAGGGTTTGGGGTATACTATATGGTTTAGCGTTTAGGGTTTAGGGTTTAGGGTTTAGGGTTTAGGGTTTAGGGTAACTGTACTAATAATAAGGAACCTCCAAAACTCTATTCTAAGTATTAAGGCTCCTACATTAGATGCAAAATCACCAAACCCCAAATGCTATGGAACCCCATGGAACCCGGTAAAGCCCTTACAAAACCTTCAGCAACCTAAATCCCAACGCCGCAAGCCTTAAACCCCTAAGCCCGAGGGCCCTGAGCCCTGAGGTCATCCGATATTCAGGGCTTCAGGGCACCAGAGGTCTCGGGTTTAGGAGTTTCACCAGCATAATCTACAACATAATTTCACCAGCATCACCGGCGGCAGCAGCAGCAGCAGCAGCAGCAGCAGCACCAGCACCAGCACCAGCACCAGCACCAGCACCAGCACCAGCAGCAGCAGCAGCACCAGCACCAGC